AGTGAGGGAGGACTTTCCTTTGGAACGGGGGTTTTTTACTTTTGGCACGCCTCACAGCCACCTGGAGGGCTTGTTCAAACAGACTGTTGGTTCTCATCTGGAGCGTTTCCGATTTGGACTGGGGCCCAATAATGTGCATCTCTAACAAGCCCCCAGATGCTAATACTGTTGTCCTGAGTCTACACTCTGAGAACCATTCATTGCTTTAGAGGGTCACGATGCTTTGTGTTTTACATTCTTACGGACCATTATTCCAAACATTTCTCTTTGACATCAGCTTGGGCTCATCTTCCCTAGCAAGGCTGCTTGAAATTCTAGTTTAGGGAGCCTCATCACTTTCCCTGGAGTGCCTACAGTATGCGTCTAACATGGTGCACAAGATCATCTTACTTCACTTGGCAAAAGAGGCACTTAGCACAGTGCCTGGGACATGCACAACCTCTGATAAGTATTTTTGGAACTGTTTTTTGAACTGCCTTGAATATTCCGGAATGACCAATGACTTGTAATTTTAAGGCCCACATCCTATTCCATTAATGGTCTCTTGCAGTCTTTGAACACACTGTAATTTTTCACAGCCCCCTGCTTCTGTGTGTGCAGTTTCCATTGCCTGATATTCCACTCCTCCTCTTTCTTCCTGGGGAAAGTCCTTCCTTATTCTTCAAGGCTCAACTGCAACATTTTCTCTTCACTGAAGCCTATTCTGACTCCCTCAGAAAGTCTGCATCCCCCGCTCTACTTATGTAGCCCTCTGAATACCTCTCCTTTAGACTTCTTTTGAATTGTATTGCAACTATTTGCTTACTTGTTAGACGTACTCACTCACTGTGAGCTTTCTGAGGTGGGGAGCAGAGTCTTAATTTACTGAGATTGAGCATGTAGCACAGTAGATACCATAAAAATGCTGATTTTCATTATTATTCCTCATATTCTTCATGTTTGCAGTGTCTAGCACATGGTAGGTACTTAATAACTCAGAAGAGTGGATGTGGTGAGAACTGCTGAATGGTTCTGGTAGTTTGTATAATCATGTCCCGGCTGTTGCATCTAGGGATGTTTAAAATTTCTTTTTTTCCTCTCCTTAAAATACTCGGTAAATGTGTTTTTCATAACTATGTTTTGTTTTGTTTCCTCCCTGAGAACATTGAAATTATGGTATCTTCCAATCAGAGGCATTAACTTGAGGGTTTTTCCCTAGGCGTGAGCTTCAGCATTTTGGGGTGAAAGTCAGCATAGTTGAACCTGGCTACTTCAGAACAGAAATGACAGATCTGCAGAAGGCCTCAGAGACAATGAAGCAAGTCTGGAAAGAAGTCCCTCCTCATATCAAGGAGACCTATGGACAGAAGTTTTTTGATCCCTGTGAGTTTTTCTTTTGAGGGGATCATGGAAAGCCTCGCATGAGAAGGGCAAAGAGGGTTGGTGTGGATTGATTGGCAGATCCTCTGAGAATAAAGCTCCTTAAACAGAGCCTTCCCAAGATAGGAGGGGCTCAGAAATGTCCCACTGCCCTCACGGCTGACTTGGTGATGGCTGCTGCGGCTGGGGAAGAGACTATACAGGCAGCCTAGGGCCAGGGCCTGCCCTGCCTGGTCACCTGTGGGCCTGGCCGCCTAGCACAGGGAGGTATTACACGGTTAGAGGCATGGAGTCTCTGGGTCTTGAGAGGGACGTGCCTCTTCATTGTTTTGCCAGGCTGGTGCGGGAGGCCTGCTCAGCTAAAGTGCAGCCTTCAATGTCACATACCCTTTTGGTAACAGGGCCTGGCCACAAACTCCATGTTTCATTGTGAGGGGGCGCAGGGTGTATGTAGGTGGGCAGAGGTGAGTGAGTGAGGACCAGATTTGCAGGGCCCTGTTGACCATTCCCAGAGGCTGGACCTCATGTGCAGGCCAA